TTAATTCTAAATTCGAAATTTTTAAGAAAAATAACGTTTTGTTTAGACTTCTAATCATCTTCAGTGAAATACAGACAGTATTGTGTCTTTAAATTAAAACTGGCTAGATTTTTTCAAACAATTTAAATTGTATTTATACATTAAAAAAAAAGAGCTTTTTATATGTAAACATTGTTTGTTACAAGGGATATTCTTTTTATAAATTCTGTTAAACGTTTTTTTGTGAATTAGAAGACAAATAAGCATAATAATTTAATTTTAGAATCAGCTAATATTTTAAATATTTTAAATTTATATATGAGAAAACAGTTCGAATTTAGCATCTATAAAACTCGTTCTAGGGTTTATTTCAATTTTTTAATGTTTCATTTATACTTTCTGGCCTTATTCAGTGATATAGAAACTAATTTACAATTTTTAGAATTTTTTATCTACCAAAAATACTATTTATTTCTTAAATCATTTATAACTTTTAAATTTTGCATAGAGAATTATTATAAATTGATTTTTCTTTATTATTTTCAAATATTTTATCAGCTGTTATAAATATCGAATTCGGTGCACCGCAAGGCAGCTTGCTGAGTCCATCAAATTAAAAGCTACATAGTATGATTTTTTATTACTATTTATTCATTAAATCATTTCTAATTTTTAATTTTTGCATAGAGAAATATTATAAATTAATTTTTTCTTTACTAATTTCATATATTTTATCAGCTGTTACTGAAATTCGGTGTACCGCAAGGCAGCTTACCGAGTCCATTGAATTAAAAGTTACATAATATGATTTTATATTACTATTTCTTTCTTAACTCATTTGTAACTTTTAAATTTTGCATAGAGAAATGTTATAAATTTTTCTTTATTAATTTCAAATATTTCATCGGCTGTTACCGAAATTCGGTGTACCGCAAGGCAGCTTGCTGAGTCCATTAAATTAAAAGTTACATAATATGATTTTTTATTACTGTTTATTCAATAAATCCTTTGTAACTTTTAAATTTTGCATAGAGAAATATTATAAATTAATTTTTCTTAATTAATTTCAAATATTTCATCAGTTGTTACCGAAATTCGGTGTTCCGCAAGGCAGCTTGCTGAGTCCATTAAATTAAAATATGATTTTTTATTATTATTTACTCATTAAATCATTTGTAACTTAAATTTTGCATAGAGAAATATTATACATTCATTTTTCTTTATTAATTTCAAATATTTCATCAGCTCTTACCGAACTTCGGTGTACCACAAGGCAGATTGCCGAGTCCATTAAATTAAAAAATACATAATATGATATTTTTTATTACTATTTATTCATTAAATGATTTGTAACTTTTAAATTTTGCATAGAGAAATATTATAAATTCATTTTTCTTTATTAATTTCAAATATTTCATCAGCTGTTACCGAAAATCGGTGTGCCGCAAGGCAGCTTGCTGAGTCCATTAAATTAAAAGTTACATAATATTATATTTATATTTATATTTATTTATATTACGGATACAGGATTGAATTTAGTAATTACAGAAAATAAATTATCTTAATTGAATTAATTACAGTAAAATACAACTATAAAACAATATTAAGCCTAACATTAGTATTATCTAATACAATAACTCGAAGAAAAAAATGTTATAATTTTGAAACAGTTTATTTGAGGCTTGTAGATCTTGAGATTCTTCTTATGGTAAAAAATATGATCTTTTATTACTATTTATTCATTAAATCATTCCTAACTTTTAAATTTTGCATACAGAAATATTATAAATTAATTTTTCTTTATTAATTTCAAATATTTCATCAGCTGTTACCGAAATTCGGTGTACCGCAAGGCAGCTTGCTGAGTCCATAAATTAAAAGTTACATAATATTATATTTATATTTATATTATATTGTATTACGGATACAGGATTGAATTTAGTAATTACAGAAAATAAATTATCTAATTGAATTAATTACAGTAAAATACAACTATAAAACAATATTAAGCCTAACATTAGTATTATCTAATACAATAACTCGAAGAAAAAAATATTATAATCTTGAAATAGTTTATTTAAGGCTTGTAGATCTGGAGATTCTTCTTATGGTAAAAAATATGATTTTTCATTACTATTTATTCATTTAATCGTTTGTAACTTTCAAATTTTGCATGGAGAAATGTGATAAATTAATGTTTCTTTATTAATTTCAAATATTTCATCAGCTGTTACCGAAATTCGGTGTACCGCAAGGCAGCTTGCCAAGTCCTTAAATTGAAAGTTACATAATATTATATTTATATTTATTTATATTACGAATACAGGATTGAATTTAGTAATTACAGAAAATAAATTATCTTAATTAAATTACAGTAAAATACAACTATAAAACAATATTAAGCCTAACATTAGTATTATCTAATACAATAACTCGAAGAAAAAAATATTATAATCTTGAAATAGTTTATTTAAGGCTTGTAGATCTTGAGATTCTTCTTGTGGTAAAACATATGATTTTTTATTACTATTTATTCATTAAATCATTTGCAACTTGTAAATTTTGCATAGAGAAATATTATAAATTAATGTTTCTTTACTAATTTGAAATATTTCATCAGCTGTTACCGAAATTCGGTGTACCGCAAGGCAGCTTGCCAAGTCCTTAAATTAAAAGTTACATAATATTATATTTATATTTATTTATATTACGAATACAGGATTGAATTTAGTAATTACAGAAAATAAATTATCTTAATTGAATTAATTACAGTAAAATACAACTATAACACAATATAAAGCCTAACTTTAGTATTATCTAATACAATAACTTGAAGAAAAAAATTTATATAGTTTAAATATTGAAATAGTTTATTTAAGGATCTTAAGATTTTTCTTATGGTAAAAAATATGATTTTTTATTACTATTTATTTATTAAATCATTTGTAACTTTTAAATTTTGCATAGAGAAATATTATAAATTAATTTTTCTTTATTAGTTTCAAATATTTCATCAGCTGTTACCGAAATTCGGTGTACCGCAAGGCAGCTTGCTGAGGTCGTAAAATTAAAAATTACGTAATATGATTTTTTATTAATTTGTGCAACTGAATCGATAACTGAAAAACTAAGTCGATATTTCTTGTGTCGTATTTTACTTTTTGGTTTTGGTATTAACAATTACTAACAAAAAGGGTATATTAACTTTGGAATTGGTGTCTCGTTTTGTTTTGTCAGAAATAATAATATGTATTTATTAAGTATTTTTTTCAAAATGAGAGTTTTTCGTTGGTTTTTGTTTTTGTTTCTGTTTCTGTTTTTGTTGTTTTGTCTGGTTTTGTAATTTGTTGGCACTCGGACTGTGTCTCTCTGTATTTATTAAGGCTGCTCCTCTTCTAATTGCTCTCCGCTATCAGGATATGTGGAGGATTGGTGGAGGCCTAGAAAAGGTTAATTTGATGTTAATAATAGATAATAGATGTAATAGATAAAATAGATGTAATAGACACAGTTATATAGATCTTGCACACTTATATTATTTTACCCAATATTAGAATTGCAAATCTTCAGTTGATGCAGCAACTTACCTAGTTTTTCTTTAGTTGCTTTTTATTGTTCTGTATAGAATTTTTACCCTGACAGAGTTTATCTCGTTCTATATTCTAGATAAGATAAGCTGAGTAACTTGTTAGAAGGGCAATTTTTTTTTAAAATAAGCGGGACGGGTAAAAGTACTCGTTATCAGGCCTTAACTTTAGAAGTGAGACAGGCAATTATAAATCGATAAAATTACGAAAGAAAGAGTTATCTGTTTTGTTTAAATTTGATAGTTTTTTGTCGTTTTTTTTACATAATAAATATATATAAGAATCGTTACCTTTACAAATTTAATTTGAATTTAATATTTACCTACAGGTCTATTAGATATTTGTTAAAACACGTAAATTAATTATGTTTATATTAGAATTATTATTATTAGGGTCAAAGTTTGTAGTAAAGTTTAAGGTGAAAGTTTGTAGAAAAATTTAGGCCAATAGTTTAGGACAAAGGTTTAGAGAAAAAGTTTTTATCAAAAGCTTAAGACATAATTATGTAATAAAGTTTAGGGTAAAAGTTTAGGGCAAAATTTTATAGTGAAGTTTGGGGTAAAAGTTTGGGGTAAAAGTTTGGAGCAAAAAGTTTAGAGCAAAAGTTTTGATCAAAAGTTTAGGGCTAAATTTTGTAGTGAAGTTTTAGGGTAAAATTTGTAGTAAAGTTTAGGGCAAAATTTTGTAGTAAAGTTGAGAAATTTCTAAAGAAAACTAATTTAAATTGTATAAGTGAGTTATTCAATATGCAGGGTGTCTCAGAACTCAACGTCAAAATAAAGCTTTCATAAAAAAATAAATTAGGAAATAATTGAAATTAATAGCTTTTAAGTGCAACCCAGGACTTTGGTGAAGTTATTAAATTATATAAGTGAGTTATTTAGTAAACAGGGTGTCCCAGAACTCAACGTCGAGTTAAAGCTTAGGAAATAATTAAAATTAAGAGTTTGGAGAAAAAGTTTAGGATAAAAGTTTGGAGAAAACGTGTAGGGTAAAAGTTTAGAGCAACAGTTTTGATCAAAAGTTTAGTGCAAAATTTTGTAGTAAAGTTCAGGGTAAAAGTTTGGAGAAGAAGTTTAGAGCAAAAGTTTTAATCAAAAGTTTGGGGCAAAATTTTGTAGTAATGTTTAGGGTAAAAGTTTGAAGAAGAAGTTTAGGGCAAAAGTTTGTAGTATAAGTTTTGATCAAAAGTTTAGAGCAAAAGTTTGGAGCAAAAGTTTGGAGCAAAAGTTTAGGGCAAAGTTTGTAGAAAAGTTTAGGACAAAAATTTAGAGCAAAAAGTTTAGAGCAAAGTTTGTAGCAAAATTTAGGGCAATAGTTTAGAGCAAGGTTTTGATGCAAAAAGTTTAGAGTAAAAGTTTAGGGCTAAAGTTTAGAACAAGGGTTTGGAGCCAAAACTTTAGAGTAAAAGTTTAGGGCAACGTTTAGAGTAAACAACAGTTTGTAGCAATGTTTAAATCAAAAATTTGTATCAAAGTTTATGGAAAAGTCTAGGGAAAAATTTGTGGCAAAACTTTGGGGTAAAATTTAGAGTGAAGTTTATCGAAAAGTTTAGAGCAAAGTTTTAAAGTTTTGATGGAAAGTTTGTAGCAAATTTTGTAGCAAAGTTCGGTGCAAAATTTATAGAAAATTTTAGAACAAAGTAGCAAAATTTAAATTTTTAATTTAGAAAGTTTAATCTATTAAATTTATATGATTTAGGTACACTTAGGAATCTATTTTAATTAAGGTATTAATTTCAACCGAAAATTATCAGCCTTAGTCGAAGTTGTCCTTTAGATATTTGTGGTGTTATTAATCAAATTAATTAAGAAAGCTTTGTTAATTAAATCCCTGTCGTTTTTATTGCTTTTATTACTACACAATGCACTAGATTTAATACTTTTGTGTATTAATTTTTGTGTTTCACATTTTGAATACTTTTTGTTGCTTTTAGCATATTTGTGTCATAAATTAGTTGTGGGAATTTGTTTGTGATAAATATATTGTTGTGGATGTTAGAAAATTCTACAGTGGTAACATTTAAATTTTGGAATAATTACTTAACTTTGATATTAAGTAAAGTAAATTTATAAAGATATGCCAGAGTCATATTTTTAATAGTTTTCTTAATATATAAATATTGAATATAATTTAAAAAATAAATAAATATTTACATTTGTATTAAAAATAACGAGGAAATAATATGAAAAAAGTTTGCATGATTTTATAAATAAATTTTTGCATGTAGAATTTTCTACTTCAAGAATATTAATTCACTGTATATTTCTCATCTATATGAATATATATATATATATATATATATATATATATATATACATATATATATTAAATGTATATATACAAAATTTATTTCCTATGTACTAAGACATTTTTTCGTTTTTTTCGCTTTTTGCAGCTCACGCAACCGATTACTACGGTAAGTCATTATTTCACTTGATAATTATTAATTTTATTAATAATTTTTCAAAATAAATAAAAAAACTTTAATGAAAATAACCTAATTTTCAAAATTTAATATACTAATATTTAGTTCAAAATAAAACGTGTTCTTTTGCTTATTAATTGGAATATTCAGGCGTTTTCTAACAAATCTTATATATTTAAATTATTTTAAGACTTGTTTGTTTATTTAATTTTGGGGGGTAAATTTTAAATTGTGGGCTAAAATTTAATTTTAATAATACAATTTTGGAAACGCTTGATCATCAATTTAATTAAAACTAATTCATTCTTAATATTTGTTTAACAATTTGAATTAACAACGCCCGCACTAATTATCATTTTATTAATTTTAACTCTAATTTCTAACATTTTTTATTTAATAGTTAAATTAAATTATTTATTTATACTTCTCTCCGCCCAATTATGAATATTATTAGTTTTAAGTTTAATATTATAAATCAAGATTTGGTTGCCATTATCATTTTTTTTTCGATTTAATTTCATATTTGTCATAACATTCATATAGTTTTAGTTAACATATTATTTATATATAAGTTTATATATAAATTTTGGTAATCGGGGCTCTTTTTACTGTAAATACACAAAACTGTGCTTTTTGGGCGATTTTTTTTATTGGTTTTTATAAAAATAATAAGTTTTGTATATAGCATTATAATTCAGTGCTTTTTTATAAAAAATATTTATCTATATATTTATATAGTTATAAATATCTTTACATATATAAATGAATTAAATTAATATAATATATAATATTTTTTTAAAAAACGTATGTGAAAAAAAAAACTTAACGTTTTTAGTTCGAAGAAAAATTGCAAAAACCGTTTTGAATTAAAGAAAATAATACTAATTCAATACTTTAATTTCATTCAAGTTTTTAATTCAATTTACAACTTTGATAATATTTTATTATTATTATGAATTTAATTTTATTATAATATTTAATTAAATCTGTTTTTTTTTGTTTTGTATTAAAGAAAATAATACTAATGTTTTTAATTCAATTTACAACGGTATTATTTAATTATTATTTTGAATTTAATTATATAATATTTAATTAAATCTGTGTTATTTTTTGCACTGAATTGTATTTCCAAAAACTTTCATTACAAATTGGGCATTTTTCTTGTTCCTAAGCAGCTTTTATATATTTTACATATTATATATTTATTTTTCCTTAATTTTGGATTTTCGTCTCTGCTTTTGGGTTTATTTTTTTCGGACTTTTTGGGTTTTTGTGACTAAAAATACTAACGATTTTGATTTATATTGTTTTGAGGTCGTGTACATTTATTTATTTAAAAATTAAAGAGGAGATAGAAGATACAGATTTTTTTGTTTGAATGGAAATCGACATTTTTTTGAGACTTTATCTAGTTGATAAAAAAAAGTTTTGTACATAAATTATTATCTTACAACATTTATATGCATAATAAGATTTAAAAAAAAAAAATTAACTGATTTGATCTTATAAAAATTAAAAAAAAATTAATTAAATGTTTAAATTTATATATTTGAAAAATAATTTTTTTTCAGATTTTTTTTTCAAATAAAAACTTAACCAAGTGTTTCCCAATTTAAATTTGTTTAAGAAAACGTAAGTCCTTGCATAAATTATTTCTTTTCTTAAAATAATATACAAGCTTTGTCCACTTTTTTCAAATGTTTTTCACCATTGGTCCTTTTTGGACCTCATCATAGAAAACACTGATTTAATCCCAAAAATATTTATACGAATTTAAAAACCAAGGACATTTTTCTTGTTTTTTTTCATGTATAAAAATTATTACAAATCTCGTATGAGATCCTATCTCATTGATAGACAAAGTTTTGTACATAATTTTTTATTATAAGACATTTGTATGATAAGATTTTCTAGCATTTTTTTAAATTTAAATTTTTTCAATTGCCTCACTTTGGGAAATACTTATTTATTCCTAAAAAAATCATGTCTAAATATTCAAATAAATATTCAAATTTATTTATTTAAATACAAAAAGGAGACTTTCACTTTACATAGATTTTATTGATAATAAAAATTCCGGACATAATTTTTTATTTTAAGACAATTATGTAATAAGATTTTCTATTTTAACTGATATGACCTTTAAACTGTTAAAAAAATCATGTCCAATTATTAAATTTTTAAATTTATTTATTTTAAAAAATAAAGAGGCTATTCACAAATTTCCAGACATTTCAGATTTTTTTTCAAATAAAAATTTAAACAAGTGTTTTCCAATTTAATTTTTTTAAGTTCTTGTACATACATTATTTTTTACCTTAAAAAACAAACAAACTTTTTCTAAATTTCTTTTTAAAAAGGATTTGTTTTTGTACCATTGACTTAAAACCAAAAATATCGACACGAATTTTAAAACTAAGGACATTTATCTTGTTTTTATTTTATAAAAATTAATAGAAAACCCGTATAGATTTATTTTTTGATATTATAAATTATACAGAGGCATTATTATGATCATTTCATATATTTGAAAAACAAATAAAGAGGCGAATCACAAATTTTCACAGATTTCAGATTTTTTTTAAAACAAATTTAATCAAGTATTTCCCAACGTTTTTAGGTACATAAATTATCTTTTCACCTTAAAATAATATACAAGCTTTTTCCTCTTTATTTCAAACAATTTTAGCCATTGGTTCTTTTTGGGCCTTACCTTGGAAAACACTGACTTTATACCAAAAATAGGACATATTTCTTGTTCTTCATGTATAAAAATTAATACAAATCTCGTTTAGATTTATTTTTTGATAATATTACAAATTATACTGAGGCATGGGGATCATTTCGTTTGTTTATAACTTTTTCTCCATATGTATAAAACAAGCCTCCGCAAATCGTCGTTTAAACAAATTTATTTAGAATTATTTTAGAATTTATTTACATGATATTTAACTATCAAATGTGTTATTACTAGTGTTTAATTATTATTATAATTTTTTTTATGAATTATCAAAATGTTGTTAATTAATCTCCTCTTTAGTTTTTGTTGATCGGGTTTGTTTAAGTTCTCGACGTTCATAATAATTTTTAATGAAAATTTGTTAAGGGATCATCTGTGTGTCTTTATTTATTCATTTATTTGTTTATCTGTTAATTTGTTTATTTTTGTTGCGGGTTTTTTAATAACAAAAATAATTTTAATATTAAGAGAGGACAAAAGCACACTATGAGGAACGTCTTCCGTTGACTCAATTAATTTGTTCCGGTTTAACAGTGACGAACTAGGAAAAAATAAATTATATATATATATATATATATATATATATATATGTATATATGTATGTATATATTAGGTTTGTCCTTAATATGGACATTTTCGAATTTCTTTGCTCCCAAGGGCTCAAATGCTTCTAAAATGACAAAAAAAATTCTCTGAAAGTTTTAGCTCTTAATATTAACATTTATAAGTTCAAAATAAAATACAATAATTAATCAATATATATTTTGTACGTTTTAGCAACAAATATGTGTCATCAAACTTCACAACATTTTTATTATATACAATTTTAATAATAATGATGTAGACATCATAATTTTATTAAAAATCTTTTGATTTTATAGTTTTTCTTTACTTTTTTTACATACAAGAATACTTTTTTATTTTGTTATTTTTCTCGTCATGAAATAAAATTCTTTTATAAATAAATTAAACAAGAAATGTTTGAATCCTTTTTTTCCCCATTTGTTTTGTAAGTATTGCATCAATATTTCCCAAACGATGACACAAATGTAGTATCAAAACGTGCAAAAAATATGTTTTATTATTTATAGTATTTTATTTTGGACTTATCGGCTGGTAACATTTTCAAAAATTAAAAATTAAATATAAAAATAAAACATTTTGAGCCATTTTGGGATAATTTGGGAAGAAACTCGAAAATTTTTTATACATGATTATTTCTAGTATATCGTATGATTTTTTTTGTTCTCGATTGTTTTATTTTTTTAAACATTTTAAAAAGATTAGTATACGTTTTTAATTTCGATGTTTAATTATCCGATTTTCTAGATAGTTCTGTGTCATTTTTTTGATTCGAGAGAATTTTAAAGAAATCCATAAAATTTTTTAGAAAATCAGAGAAAATTTAAAGGAAATCAACAGAACATTCTCTGTTTTTCACAGTTTTCATTATCAATAAACAAGCATAAGATAGCGTTACCATATATATGTATAATAGGGTGGTCCTTATTATGGACATTTTCGAATTTCCTTGCTCCCAAGCGCATGGAAAAAATTTTGAAAATTAAAAAAAAAAATTTTAGGTATAACTTAGCGACAAATGAATTAAAAGTGATAATTCTTATCATTGAAAATTCGACGTTCTGCAAAATTTTTTCATGCTATTTCCATACAAAATTTTGATTGAATTGCGCACTATCTGAAAGACAATATTAAGAGCTAAAACTTTGAGAGAATTGTTTTTTATCTATTTGGAACCATTTGAGCCCTTGGGAGCAAGGAAATTCGAAAATGTCCATATTAAGGACCACCCTAATGTATAACTAGACCTTTGAAAAATTGAAAATGTGTTTATTATTAAAACTTTCTACTTCGTCACTGTTAACTCTTTTTCATATCGTAGGGACCAAAAAAAAAATTCTTCCACTTAACACTTTTGTGTAAATACACATACGGAATGCAAAATTGTTAACACATTTGTAACTGTTTCTCTCAATCAATCAACTAATTAATTATTTATTCATAGATAGCACTTTTATGATAGATACTTATCGATTGTTTTCCATTTTCTTTCTAATTTCAAGATGAATACAATCTAAACCCGGGTTTAGAATGGGAAGACGAGTTCACAGGTAGGTGTGCTAATAATGCTTTCTATTTTTTCTCTATGTAAAAAATTTAAAAATCTATCTAATCGTTCTTTTCTCCTGACGTATCGTAATTAGAACACTTTTTACACATCACTATTTAG